GAGCTTTTTATTCTCCCTTTAAACCTGCCAAAGCGCAGGAGACGGAGAGCCGGGGAGGGAGAGGAGAAGGAGGTGGGGCCCGGCTCTTCGTCCCCTCTCCCTCCGCCCACCACGCCTCCCCTCCCCCCGGACGTGGAACTGCGACTCTGCAAACTGGAAAGCAGCGAAAGGACACCTCCTTTCTTTTCTCTCGTGTTGTTTTTAAGAGCAATGAGAGAGAGAGAAGAGTGGAGAGGGAAAAGAAGAGAGAAAGGGAGAAAAGAGAGACAGGAAAGAGAGAAAGAGCAAGAGAGAGAGAAAGAGAGAAAGAAAAAATGAGCTGGGATAAAGTATTTTAGCAGTTTCTGCCTTTAGGGTTTTATTAGCTTCTCTCCCCCAGGCCGCAGCCAATCAGCGCGCGTGCCCGGGCCCCTGCGTCTCCTGCGTCAAGACGGCCGTGCTGAGCGAATGCAGGCGCCCTGCGAGCTAGGAGCGATTTAAAACGCTTTGGATTCCCCGGGCCTGGGTGGGGAGAGCGAGCTGGGTGCCCCCTAGATTCCCCACCCCCGCACCCCATGAGCCGACCCTTGGCTCCATGGAGCCCGGCAATTATGCCACCTTGGACGGAGCCAAGGATATCGAAGGCTTGCTGGGAGCGGGAGGGGGGCGGAATCTGGTCGCCCACTCCCCTCTGACCAGCCACCCAGCGGCGCCTACGCTGATGCCTGCCGTCAACTATGCCCCTTTGGATCTGCCAGGCTCTGCGGAGCCGCCAAAGCAATGCCACCCATGCTCCGGGGCGCCCCAGGGGGCGTCCCCAGCTCCCGTGCCTTATGGCTACTTTGGAGGCGGGTACTACTCCTGCCGAGTGTCCCGGAGCTCGCTGAAACCCTGTGCCCAGGCGGGCACCCTGGCCGCCTACCCTGCGGAGACTCCCACGGCTGGGGAAGAGTACCCCAGCCGCCCCACTGAGTTTGCCTTCTATCCGGGATATCCGGGAACCTACCAGCCTATGGCTAGTTACCTGGACGTGTCTGTGGTGCAGACCCTGGGTGCTCCTGGGGAGCCACGACATGACTCCCTGTTGCCCGTGGACAGTTACCAGTCCTGGGCCCTCGCCGGTGGCTGGAACAGCCAGATGTGTTGCCAGGGAGAACAGAACCCACCAGGTCCCTTCTGGAAGGCAGCATTTACAGGTAATCTCTATTACTCTGGGTTCCCTTGCCTCTGAGCCTGGGTTTGTGGATCCCATTGGCACTTCCCTGGGAGGAGGAGGAGGGAGACTTGGAGCCGGTGAGGATAAACTCGGTTCTCCTCCCTTGGTTATTAGGACTCTGAGGGAGGGTCTAGGCAGCTGGAGTGCCTGGATGGAGGTCAATGTGAGGGGCCTGAGCTGGGTACCATCTGAAGCCTGAGGGCCACCTTACTCTCCAGGAGGCCCTGGGACCAGTCTTTCAATATATCTGAGAGGTTTGGATCTCTTCTCTGTTGAGTAGGGATCAGGGTGTCCCTACCCAGCACAATTCTGGACTAATTCTACACAAAGGCTAAATAACTCTCAATTATTTGGTGAGTGGGGAGTGGGTGTGGGAGATGGGTAAAAAGGTATTGGATATTCTGTAGAGAATACAACCCATCACTTCCTATTAGATGAGTTTTCCAATTTCTAAAGAAAAATTTAGCTTTCCTGCAGCCATGACACAGGTGTGTGCATTGGAATGGGTGAGAGAGAGAGTGTGTATGTGTGTGTGTGTGTGTGTGCATGTGCGCGCGTGTATGCGCATGTATTGAGAGTGGGGACAGAAATGTGTTTCCAGATTTTGCCTGTAGAATCTACAAGAGTGGCCAAGAGTCTGGAAATGCATGAAGAGTGGACACATGTGATGGTGGGCAAAGGCCTGTGTGTGGTGTGTTTGCAGACTCTCGGGTGTGACAGCAGTGACGGGTGAGGGTGGCCAGCAGGAGCCATGGCTGAGCGGTGGTGAGAGAATAAGCCAGAAGCTGGGGTGTCCTTGCGTGCTTTGGAGGAACAGGATCGAACATACACCTGTAGGGTGACCTGGGTGCGCCTGTGGGATGACTTAGCTTGGGGCTTGCAGGGCCTGGGTCTGATCATGGGTGGGGATCTGATCATGCCTTTTTCTCCCTCCCTTTCCTGCTGCACAGACTCCAGCGGGCAGCACCTTCCTGACGCCTGCGCCGCCTTTCGTCGCGGCCGCAAGAAACGCATTCCGTATAGCAAGGGGCAGTTGCGGGAGCTGGAGCGGGAGTATGCCGCAAGCAAGTTCATCACCAAGGACAAGAGGCGCAAGATCTCAGCTGCTACCAGCCTCTCGGAGCGCCAGATCACCATCTGGTTTCAGAACCGCCGGGTCAAAGAGAAGAAGGTTCTCGCCAAGGTGAAGAACAGCGCTACCCCTTGAGAGATCTCCCTGCCTGGGTGGGAGGAGGGAAAGCGGGGGTGTCCTGGGGAGACCAGGAACCTGTCAAGCCCAGGCTGGGGCCAAGGACTCTGCTGAGAGGCCTCTAGAGACAACACCTTTCCCAGGCCACTGGCTCCTGGACTGTTCCTTAGGAGTGGCCTGGGTACCCAGTATGTGCTGGGAGAGGGAAGCCCCATGTGACAGCCCCCTCCACCAGGGTTCCCAGAGAACCTGTTGTAGTCATAATCATTCATCCCGACAGTGGCGATAATCACTATAACCAGTACTAGCTGCCATGATCATTAGCCTCATATTTTCTATCTAGAGCTCTGTAGAGCATTTTAGAAGCTGCTTCCATGACTTGAGCTGATTATGAATAAACTTGGAAGGCGATCCCTTTGCAGGGAAGCTTTCTCTCAGACCCCCTTCCGTTTACACCCCCATCCTGGTACCAGAAGGAAGACTGAGGACAGGAGAAAGGGCAGGTTCGCTTGTGTGGCTGTGATGTCCATTTAGCATTTTTCTCAGATGACAGCTGGGCAGGTAGACAATTGTAGAGGCTGCCTCTTCCTCCCTCCTTGTCCACCCCATAGGTTGTACCCACTGATCTCAGAAGTCCTCATCCTTAACGCTTAGATTTTTTCCCATCATGTGAAAATGAAGCAAGCAGGCTGCCCCTAGTCAGTCCTTCCTTCCAGAGAAAAAGTGGTTTCAGGCCGGGCGCGGTGGCTCAAGCCTGTAATCCCAGCACTTTGGGAGGCCGAGGCAAGTGGATCACGAGGTCGAGAGATCGAGACCATCCTGGTCAACATGGTGAAACCCCGTCTCTACTAAAAATACAAAACACTAGCTGGGCATGGTGGCACGTGCCTGTAATCCCAGCTACTCAGGAGGCTGAGGCAGGAGAATTGCCTGAGCCCAGGAGGCGGAGGTTGCGGTGAGCCGAGATCCTGCCATTGCACTTCAGCCTGGGTAACAAGAGCGAAACTTGGTCTCAAAAAAAAAAAAAAAAAAAAAAAAAAAAAAAAAAAAAAAAAAAAAAAAGTGGTTTCAGAAAATGCCTGGATAATTCACCATTCATTTCCTCCCCCAAACTCTCCATCTTCCTTTAATATTTCTGGTGGTTCTGACCAAAGTAGGTCATGGTTTGTTGGGCATTTGGGAGCCCAGTGAAGTAGACGTTTGTGGCCTTGCATACTCAGCTCTCCTAGGCACAAACAGCAGTTACAGAAAAAGAGTAGTGTTCTTTGCTACCCTTAGGCAGCCCCAGACAATAGCGCAGGAGAGAGAACCAGAAAATGGCCTCTTCACCACTCATTTTCTCCTCTGCCTCCCACTGACATCCAGAGGAGCTTTCAGGCCAGGGAGATGGGGCAGGCCCTTTTGCAGTTGAAAAAGCAGCCGTTGGTGGAAGAGCAAAGACCCAGGCTCAGGGTTGGGGAACCCCAGGCTGCCAATGGGACAGTGGCTGTGGACTTCATTTCCTTTTCATCTTGCCCTGGCTCCGTCTAGTACCCTGAATCCCATGTAGGTGGAGGGCAGAGTGGTGCCAACCCTGTTGTCCCCGGTCCACTTAGACAGATACACAGTGCAGAATTATGGAAGCTGGAGACAGAAGGGCTCTGAGAGGGACATGGGGGCCTCTGCCTCTGTGCCCATTCTCTGCTGTCGTGTACCTGGGCTCAGTTCCCGGTGGGACTCATTGCCGGGGCAGCGCAGCAAAGCCAGCGGGTTCCTGCTGGGCCTTCCTGTACCCTAGGCCATGGGTGGGGGTCCTGCAGGCACTTTCTTCACGATTGAGCGCACAGGCCTGAAGTCTGGAGAACCCGCAGAACCGAAGTTTAGAGCAGGAGGCCGGCAGCGAGCAGTCAGCGGTGGGCTGCGGCCGCCACTACCTCGAGGACCTTTCCCTCCTGATCCAGCTCTCCAAGAAACTCCGCGGCGGCCAAGGGATTTGAGTGTTTACGGCCTGCGGTTGGGTGGGACTCAGCTCCTCTTCCGGGAAGGAGTGAGGGTGAGAAGTGACTTAGACTCCTACAGATCTATTTACCAAAGAGGAGCCCAAGACTGAGGGAACTGGCCAAAGAGTGTGAGTGAATGGGAACTGGGGGGTCGGGGGAAGAGGACGAGGAGGAGGAAGAGGAGGTCGATTACCTGATTTTAAAAATCTTCCAAGCCCAGTTTAAGGGCTCGGTTACATGCACCGCTCAGAGGAGGTCACTTTCTGCCTTCCACGTCCTCCTTCAAGCGAAGCCCATGTGGGTAGCTTTTAGTATCTCAGGTTCTTACTCCTCTGTCTCTGTAAGCCCAAACCGGACCAACGCTCAGACAAGCAAACCCCTCCCTCGCCAACTTCGGAAGTGGCGAGAGTTCAGCGTAGATAGGCCTGTGGGGAGGGGGCGAGATAGATGAGGGGGAGCGGCGTGGTGCGGGGTGCCCCCTTGGAGAGAGGAAAACGGCCACAAGAGGGGCTGCCATCTCCACTAACGGAGATGGCCCTGGTAGAGTTAGAGGTCTGGGACCTCTGCTCTCAGGAACTTAAACTTAAGGCGCTTCTCTGTTTTTCGCTCGCAATAAATTCAGAGCAAACAAAAGATGTGGAATCTTAAAGATTTATTCCACCAGTGTGCTAAGACCATTAAAAAGACAAGGGCGCCCCCTCCCGGGAGAGGCTCGCCACTCCAGGAGAACCTGCGGCCAGGCTTTGATCCCCCGCGGAGATACCGGCTTTCCGCAGCCTGGAGCCTTGGGGTACCGGGCTGCGTGTGGGGGCCTCAGGACCCGATGTCGCCTGCCATTCGGCCAGGGCATCGGGAGATGTATTGGTCCAGCCCCCCAGAGACCCAGGAAGAAGGCAAGGAGGTTCGGCACAAGCGATCTCCAGTGGACGAAGAAAGGTCCGGCTCCGGGAGCCAGGCCGCGGCGCCATCCGCCCTCCGGCCATGTCTTCATTCGTAATATATTTTATCTTCCACACCATAACAATTCGCGGTAGACGCCCCCCCCCCCCGCCGATCTTTTTTTTTTTTTCTGATTTATTTGTATAGAACCTGTGCAAAAAATACTTAATTTCGTTTTGTATTAAGCCCTTTTATTGGGAATCCCTTCCCAAACAATTTTAGTCTCCCACACCTATCCCTGACCCACCACATTGAAATCTCTCTCATTTGCGTTTAAATCACAACGAAATCCACAAAACTACACTCGCCTGCAGCTATTTACTTTTAAATAAGGGACATGTTAAGCTACAGGAGGAAATGTTATGCTTACCATTCGACAAACGTGTGAACACATGTCACAATAGATGAATCCAGACAACACTGTCACAAATAAACGCAGAGGCACACACACACTCCGGAAAACAAGCAGAGCGCCTTTTCACCAACAAGGCGCAATTGTACTCTGAGCTGCGCCCCAGACGTTTCCCCTCCCTCGGAGCCAAACACCACCTTCCGCAGCGAGTCTCTCCGCAGGCCGGGAAACAGGATCGGAGGGTCGCGTCTACGCGGGCTCCAGGCCCGAAATCAGTTCCAACTCCAAAGCAGGTGGATTTTATTAGGCCTCCAGAAGTCAAATAAAGGAGTCGTGGCGAAATACGTAAACACTACCTCCGGAAGCTCTTTTGGAATCTCGGTTCCAGCACTCGCAACGCAGAGAGCGAACCTGAGGCTCCATCTTTCGGGTTTTACTCCGGCTGAGGAGCGCTTCCGGGGACCCTGCGAGGCCGCCACCGGCCGAGCATCCACCCCGCCTTCCTGCATGCGATCCCTACTCCAAGTAGTAGTTCAGGGCCGGAAGCTGGAAAGCCCCCGAAGCAGGAAAAAGCCCCGTCCAGGCCGCCCTGTTCTCGGGAGCAGCTCCGGCTTTCCTCCCGCAACCCGAAGCAAACTTCTTTTCCCTGCAGCTCCCCTCCTCCCCTTCATTAAAGTTGTATTCAAGGTTCTAAGTGCTGTACTCTAACTAGGTTACCTTCAGGGGAGACTCTGTGACCCCTGGCCCCCAGACCCCCGCCCTGTCTAATAGAAACCTCGGAGCTACAACCGCGAATTAAATAAATGAACTCGTTACCGTAAACTTGCAATAAAGCCCGGAGGCGACTGCTGCGGAGGGGGCAAAAGGAGGTTTCGTTGTTGTTGAAATTTATACCATTCTCACCCTCCCGAACAGTCGCTCTCCAGGAAAGAGGGGAGAAAGCTCTGGAGCGGCCCTGGGCCTCTCGCACAGCAGCAGGACACCCCGCCCCTCCCCCCCAGGCGCTGGCCTGGGCCTGAGACAGATTTAAAACATCCAATGGGGAACCGCTGCCAGCCTTTCTTCCTCTCTCCCTACTTGTTCTGTGTAGAGGGGATGAGGGGGAGGGGACGAAGTGATGGGGGAGAGTGAAAGAAAGAATTCTACCGTTACCCCCTCTCCTCCCCTAAATTGTCCCCCAACTGGGAGGGTCACAGGGGGCCGCAAAAGAGTTTAATCGCCCTCAGAATAATGCTGGCTCCCAGCCTGGGGGGAGGGTCAGGGACTTTGCCATTGAACTTGAAGTTCTAAGCTGGTGGCCTCCACCACTCCCATCCCCACTTTCCTAAAAGTTTTATGGGAAGAGGGAGGAGGATGAGGGGAAGAGGGGATACCTCTGGCCTTTGGAAAGAGGGAGGAAACCAATCGGGGGAGGAAGGGCCACAGCAACCAGGAGGTCCAGGGGAGATTAGGAGGTTTGCTGGGAGTCGAGGAGGCCTGGGGCTGCTGGGAGGAAACACTCCAGCCTTCGCCCGGACTTGCAGCTATAAGGTGGGGAGCTACCAACCGCAGGCCTTCTCACTGAGCCCCGCCCCAGACTCTACAGGGAGAGGGGCACCCAGTGCTCTGCTCCCGTCCTTCCTCTCCTCACCTAAGGTGTGCTAGCAGAGAGCCACTGGGAGGCTGAAACCTTCAGGCCGAGGCCTGCCTGCCAGCTCAGGCAAGCTGGATTCTGATCCCCACCTTTTGCAGAGACAGCAGCGATGTTGTGCGCCCATTTCTCAGACCAAGGCCCGGCCCATCTTACAACCTCCAAGAGTGCTTTTCTCTCTAATAAGGTAAACTACCTGATCCGTGGGCCAAGGCCGTTACCAGTGGAACTCTCAGTATGGTAGCTGCTTTAGGAGGCCCTGGAAGGGGGTCTCCCAGGAATCTGGGGGCCTTCAGAGGTTTTGGCAAACAAAGGAAGGGTGAGCAGTGGGCTCTCACCAATACTACCTGGCGGGAGCACCTCTTCACTGGTTCCTGGAGAGACCGGAAGCCACCCTGGGCAGAAAGGGACAAAGAAAATGTTTGCAGCACGCAGGACCTGTAGGGCCTGGGCAGGGGAGGGGCTTGGGGGTGGGAACTAGCACCCGATGTAAGGTCCCCCGCAAGACTTAATGTCTGTCTCCAATCGGATGGAGTCCTGGCAAAAGCAAAATTAATATTGTTAATATTATTATTAAAAAGTATAATATTTAACAAAACACCTACTTTGAAAACTGGACAAGACCAGGCATGATGGCTCAGCCGGTAATCCCAGAACTTTAGGAGGCCAAGGCAGGCAGATCCCTTGAGCCCAGGAGTTCGAGACCAGCCTGGGCAATGTAGCAAGACCCCCGTCTCTATTTGTATAATGATTTTTTTTTGTAAAAAGAAACTGGGTGAAAGTTAACAGTGATTTTAACTTTTTTTTTTTTTTTCTAACTCATCCTTAAGGAAAAACTCTGGCCCTTAAAAAAATAAAGACGGGCCAGGAACACTGGCTCTTGGCTGTAATCCCAGCACTTTGGGAGGCTGAGATGGGCAGATCACTTGAGGCCAGGAGTTTGAGATCAGCCTGGCCAACATAGTGAAACCTGTCTCTATTAAAGATACAAAAATTAGCTGGAAATGGTGGCTCACACCTGTAATCCCAGCTACTCAGGAGGCTGAGGCACAAGAATTGCTTGAACCCAGGAGGTGGAGGTTTCAGTGAGCCAAGATTATGCCACTGCACTGCAGCCTGAGTGACAGAGCAAGACTCGATCTCAAAAAAAAAAAAAAAAAAAAAAAAAAAAAAAAGTAACAATTGCACCTTTTTCTCTGGGCTCTGCCTTTCTTCTCCCCTTTCCGGCACCCTATCAGAAGCTGTGTGGGATCCATGCCACAGTAGGCATGTGTATGCACAGGGGCTCTAGGTCCAGCACAGAAGCAGATTGGGACCGCATGCCCACATCTCCAGCCAGTCACGGACTCTGCCAAGTCATTGGTCTTGGTGTGGGCACAGTAATGCACAAACACGCTCAGGACTCACCTAACTTTCTTCTCCCCACAGCTGGTTCCTTCCCTGCCAGTGACCCTCTCATACTGACAAAACCCACAATTAAGTGAGCACTTTATAACCTAAAGAAATTGAGACTAAGAGGGCAACTTACTTGATCAGTATCACAGTGCCACAGTGACCCAGTGGCAGAGCCTGGGTCCCAAAGCAGGAGCTCTTAACTTCTACCACCAGCTGATAAAATAGCTCAGTGGCTACTCAACTGTCAACATACCTCTCCCCACAAGGCCCTTCAGACACTGACAAGCACCTATTTCCATCCGGAGTCACCCCGCTAGGTCTCACAGGTACACCCAAATACCCTAGACCCAGCCCCTCCTCAGGCACTGGACAGATCCTCATATATGCAAATACAGGGATTAAACATATGTGGACATTTATATCAACCAACTACTCATTTACCGAGTTCCACTAGGGGTGGAAGGCAGGAGGAAAGAGATGGAAACATGCTCTCCCTTCCCACAAGGCCTGACTCCTATTAGCTGGTAGATCTTGGGTCTGCAGCTTCCCCGTATGTGACCTGAGGCCAGAGGACTCTATTCCATGACCAAATGACTACAATCAGAACAAATGGGGAACAGGATGGGGAACAAGGAATGAGAGATTCACACACACACACACACACACACACACACACACACACACACACGGCTTCTGGGAGGCTTCCCTGTTTTGGAGAATGCTTGAAATATCAAATCCGGAAGGGAAGATGTGAGCAAAACTCCGAGGAGGAGGCCAGAAAATGCAGGTCGCGGTGGATAGGAGGAAGGTGTGGATCCTGGCTCGGGGTGAGCTAGAGCTGACCGGGCAGAGAGCAGGGGCATCTTACAGGATCCTGGGCCAGCGGGCGAAGCCTGGCGAGGAATCAGACGTCGCCTTGCCCACTCAGACGCCGATCGCCTTACCCCCACCCCAGGCGTGCACACACGCGCACTACCCCGCCCCCACGAACTCCGCAGATCCCAGGCGGAGGGCAGAGAGGCAGCTCTCCGTCCGCAGGGTCGGTACTCATCCTGTGAATCCTCAGCTCCCCGACTCTAGGTGAACCCAGCCCGTCGCCCCCGCCCGAGACCTCCGCCCAGCATTTGTCAGGTTGATGGCTGAAGCTCGCCGCACCTCCCACTCTAGGCAGGGTTTTGTCGTTGAACTTGAGTCAGGCTGTAAACATTCCTTCACCCCTCCGGAGCCAGGCTGAGTGGAGGGGAAGGGCGGAGGGGGCTGTGGCGGGACCCGGAACGTGAGAAGCCCGGCCTCTCCCAATCAAGCCCTCGCGGCTTTATCAAACAGCTTCCGACCCTTGCCTTCCGGGGAACAATCACCCGGTCTGCAGTTAAAAGCCGGATTCTTGAAGCCATCGGCAAGTCAGGCCGATATGTTAGTCAGCACGACATTGTGTAACTTTTTCTCTTCCTCATTGGCATTTCATGTTCGTTTACCTTATTTTAGCCAGTCCGATTCTTAATTTATTTCAACAATCAGGATAAACAAATGCGTACACAAACGAATTCTAGCTAAGGCCGATGAATTATTAGAGAACGTTCTAGCCGGTTGTCACGAGGCCGTCGCCGCTGGGTTTTACAAGTGCCCCTCCCTCGGCGTAGTAACCCCGGGGGGCTGTCGCCCGCCGCGCGATCAGATCCCGGGTTGCCACCGGAACGGCTGCCGAGCCCCGCAGAGCTCCCAGGACCTGGAGCTCTCCCAGGCCGCCTTCCCAGGACCTGGAATTTTAAACTTCGCAAATGGGGCGTCTCACTACTCGGTGGCGGAGGACATAGCGGCCTGGAGAGCCGTCCGACCCGGGAAACCCAAGCGTTTCTCCCCGGCGACGCGCCGACTGCGGAGGCTGCGAGGAGCGGCCTGCTGAGACGGTAGTGGTGCTGCGTGTGTGTGTGTGTGTGTGTGTGTGTGTGTGTGTGCATATATTTAAATAATTCAGGATCTGGAGCAAGGGAGGATCAAACACCCGATCCCGGGGGCTCTCCCTGGCTCAGTAGCATCCAGTCGAAGGGGAACGGAGCGCGCCGGCGCGCAGGGAGGCGCGGGGGGCCACTCTGCGTCTGGCGCGGGCCGCTCCGAGCGCGGGGCTTTCTTTCCAACCCGGAGCTCCCAGCAGCTCAGCGACACCAGCTAACGAGATACCAAATCCGGCGATGCAACGAAAAGCGCCTGGCCTTAGAATTTGGGACTGAGACACCGCAGGGAGGCAGGTCCCCGCCGACAAATCGGAAGAGGCCTGCGGGAGTTAGCCGGATAAGGCTCTCCCTGTCCTACCCGCCCCCACCCATTTGGATTTTACCTGCCACAGAGCCTGCTTGAACCAAAGGGATTTGCTATCTCCTCCTCCTCCTCTACTTTCGATCCCCAGGCCTTCGGCGGGGCCTGAGAAAGAATCCAGACAACCCTTCTGCCTTTGTCTGACCTTCGGGGAAAACAGGCGTGGGCGCCTGGGTCAAGTTCATGGACCTGGTCTGCGTCGTTTAGGGCCAGCGAAGGCACCGTTCACATTCTGACGAGAAGGGTTGTAAGCAATTGAGACAGTGTGGGGAGAAACAAGCTGCGAGAAAGGACTTCCCATTTTAATCTATTGTCCCAGTCTCACATCCCCTCCCCCTCTCGCAGCCCTGTAGAGGAGAAATAATTGGATCCGAAAAGAAGCCTTTTATTTGGAAAAATGCGAAGGTCTCACGGAATGAGCTTCCCAGAAACGGTCTTTGGCACTGGGGTAGTTTTGCTTGAGTGCGGCGCCGGCCTTTATGAAAGTTAAGGATTTACAGTATTCGGCACAATGGTTTCTGTGGAATTTGATTCAGAGCAAAAAAGATCACATCTATACTGCTTTCAAAAAATCTTCCGACTGAACACATTGAAATAATTTACCCCAACATCCTGGTCCCTATCCTACTCACCACCACCCCCGACTTTTTTTAAAGGGCCTGATGCAAAATGATATTCTGCCCCTTAAAAAAAAAAAAATCAAAGAGAAAAAAAATACTATCCCGATTGCAACAAATAGAATATGCATCTTAAAACACAGAGCTACTTTTAAAACTTTTTATAAACACCCCCTGCTAAATCAAAAATTTTTTCAATGTGTATATTATATAATTTTCAACCACTGTTAATAGTTACTTTTTGTTACCCTTCCCCTCAACCTAGTTATGTACAATCTAATTTGGTTTGAAAACATACGTTTTCTGTGTCATAAGCAATTCCTCAATTTATTTTTAGATTGTACAATATGCAATGAAAGAAATTGTCATAATTTAGAAAACGATTTCCCTAAAGTTAGTCTTTTAGGCTGTCCCCATATTTACAAAGAGGAGTTTCAGCTGGACACAGCAGCTGACACCTATAATCCCAATACTTTGGGAGGACAAGGTGGGAGAATTGCTTGTGCCCAGGAGTTGGAAACCACCATGGGCAATATAGCCAGATTCTGTCTCTACGTTGTTTTTTTTTTTTTTTTTTTTAAATTAGCCAGGCATGGTGGCACCTGCCTGTAGTCTCAGCTACTCTGGAGGCTGAAGCAGAAAGATCGCCAGTGAGTTTGAGGCTGCAGTGAGCCTTGATGCTGCCATTGCACTCCAGCCTTGTCTACTCCAGCTTGGTCAACAGAGCAAGACCCTGTCTCTAGAAAACACATAAATAAAAAGAAGGATGTTTTTTCCTGATTAGAAAAGTAACACATTCTTATTATTAAGAATTTCAAAAATATAAAAATAATTAAAAAGAAGGAAATAAAATTTACCCCATACACTACCATCCAAAGTTTACCAAACTACTCTTTTGTTATATTTTCTTCAGTTATTTTTCCTTGCAAATATGTACAATTTCAAAACTGAGGTTCTGCATGATTTTTTTTGTCTTGCCTTTTATTTAACGTAAGATTATGAACATTTCCCAGTGTTATTAAATAGTCTTCAAAAGCTTGGTTTTAATGATTGCATAGTATCCAATCCACCAAATGTGATATCAAAAATCATTTCTTTAATATTGATCATTTAGATTTTTTGTTTCTATGTTTACTTTTTAAAACAATTCATAAGAGAGAAATTGTTGTGCTCCTAAGTATGTTTGATAGAGAGATGAGAATAGAATCCCCCTGGGATAGAATTCTTCAAAAATTCTAGGTTAAAAATTCCCCCTTCTGAAACAGCCAGGTGTGGTGGTGCATACCTGTAGTTCTAGCTACTCAGGAGGCTGAAGTGACAAGAATGCTTAGGCTGGGGACTCGAGGCTGCAATGAACTACAGT